GCAAAAAGTGGGCCTCTGGTGATAGTACTAAAGACTATTAAACCACTCTGAAATTCCAAACCTTCCAGTGACTATTCTATTACCTGAACACCACAAGTCTATTTTCTGTATAAATCAGTGTGAATTGAGTTTTAGCTTGCCTGCTGTTCAGGCAGGGGAGGGGCGGGCCACTGCTCCATATCTGAAAGACAGAAAAGCAGATGCTAAATAGAAATACTTATTACAAATTAGTAAGAATGATTGCCTCTTCCGGTTAACTGTATGACTTTTAATAATCAGCTCTACATTTAAATTCATGAGGTAACTAGTCTTCTGCCTAGAAGAGGTAGCAGAGCCAGATAGATATAATCTTAACACCTTCACTGCTAGGGATTCATTTAATTTTTTTGGGAGCTCAGTTTCCTCAACTCTGCAATGGGCATAATCATGTTTCCCAGCAGGGGTTTTGCAAAGGTTTCATGAAATAAGGGATAGGGAATAAATACTCAATAACTCACACAGTACATTATAGTACTTGTATTAACAGAACTATTGTGTTTTCCTTCAAAATCATGATGAGGACTGAACTGGGCCAAGTATCTAGCCTAAAGTATATTGCATTACAAACTCGACTTTATTATTTTCTCTCCCATATTTCCCATTTCTCTTCCAGAACAGAGATCCTGAAGTTGTGCTTGAAATTTACTTCCCAGTCCTTGGGCCCTGGCTGTGTCCTCTGCCTCCTGTCTCTATGGTCCAAGCACCGGGCCTCAGTGAGGATTGATTCTGCTTTCTGCTTGCAAAACTCTCACCAGCCTACTCGGAGCTGACTCTAGTGGTGGCAAGCAGGCTGGTTTCTGCTCCTAGATCAGTACTGTCATGCTATTGCCATGTGGTCAGACTGTCTTAGATCAATATTGCCATTCTCTTGCCATGTGGTCAGACTGTTGGATCTGGAGACTGTTGGACCTCGCTGTTGTGGGTGATGCTGGGATCATTGTTGTTGATGTCTCATGTCTGCCAAATGTGGCATCTGTTTCCAGCTCCTACGCCTTGGCTCCATAGCCAGAAAGCCCTGGCCTGTCCCTCCTTCCCACCCCATGAAGATTATTCCCCTCTACTTTGCTAGATGATACACATGGCTCATTCCCTCTAAACCTCTACTCTTAGTTTCAATTCATTGAACTACCAGTATGTAATTTTAATGTAAGAAGCTCACTATAGTCTCAGTCACTCAAACAACTCCAGGAAATATTTCTCTATTTGTATACTTCCCTTATATATTACTGCCTTCTCCTCTAATATGGTATGTGTCTATAAAGTAGTGGGTATAAATGTGGTCCAATTTATTTTTCATGCAATAAATATGGATTTAATGTTTTATTATAAATTGCTCCTAGTACAAAAATTTACCTCTGATAATAGCATACTTTATTATTTTTGAAGTTGCCAAGGTGATCTTTTTTGTTTTATATAGTTGATAACTTTATTTTGCAATTGATGGAAATAATTTCAAACTAGGGTATGCTTTCCACAAAGCAAATAAATAGTATTTTTCATGTGAGTTCAGAAAATGAATAGGCCTCAAATAAAAGTGGAATAATACAAAGGATCATGTTTCAATTTTATAGTCTTTCTGTCTATGATACAACATTTGACTTGTAACCTTCTTTTTACATTCACCATCTGCATACTGCCTGCACACAGGAAATGTGAGATGAGTGCAGGTCGTTTGGATCTGTAATATTAAGTATGAACATAACACTGAAATAGAATGAATCTGGTCTGGAGCAGTGGACTAGAAGTCATATAATGTCTGTCTCCCAGCCACCATTCATTAGTTACGTCCTTGAACAAAAATCATTTAACCTTTCCACGCCTGACTCTGCAGTGAAATAGGGTGATGCCAGCTCCCATCACAGGCATTTGGAGAACAAAATAAAAATTAAAACTGTATGGTATTTTCCATGAGAGGGCTTTGGACAATGTAATTCATAGGTAGTAATTTTCCAACACTTGTATGCCATCTTTATATGTGCAGATTCCTTGTTAATCTCAAAGGAGGGAGACATGCAAACATATAACTTTCGCTGGAAAACTAGACCAATAAAATAATAATATCAGCCACTTATTACATCTCAGGCACCTCTCTAAGTGCTTTAGATACTCAAGCCTCTCACTAACTGTATGGGGTGGTGTTCTCTTTGGGCCACTGAGGTTAAGTAGGTGGGCCAAGGTTATACAGGGGAAATAAAGTGGAGACACATTTAACCCTAGTGGTTTCATCTAACAGTCTAGGAGTACCAAAAAAAGCTCATCTGCTCCCAATTCTACTATAATGGCTCCAAAGACCAGAAACACCTGTGTTCACCTAGGAAAGACATCTGGATGGGCTCTGCTCTGTTCATCCCAATGGAAAAGATAGATAAGAGCACAGATTTGGATCAATACTGACAATATTGGAAGATGGGTGATTTTTCCTCTACAGCCTGATGTGGTACCTGGTACATTCTGTGCAAAGGCCAGAAACTCAGTTAGTCCATGAGTGGCTGTTGAGTGCAACTATATTCCTGGTCCTATTGTTGTCACTGGAAATTTATCAGTGAAAAGAAAGATCAACCTCGTATTCAAATCAACTCCTGTTGGAAGGTCTGGTGACAGGGGGGAGAGTTGGGAGGTTGGATGGTATAAGAAGAAAATGCACAAATCATCAACAGAGGGAACAAGTCAATAACTACCATCAATTCAGATGCTAAAATTTTCTATGACAAAGACAAAGGAAGGACTTGTTCCTGAGTCTTACAGAGAAAAATAAAATAAAAGACAAAGTAGCTATTTTTAAGAAAACCACAAATTGCAGGTGGAAATACACTGTTATTTTGGGGTCCCTCACCCTCCTCATTTTCTTGCTTGAGAGGAAAACAAATTAGCTGGATTAGCCTTCACATTTTCATCTACATAGTGGGAGAGAGACAGACTCTTACCCCAACAGAACAAGAAGCAGAGGATAAGAATAGAGAATTCATCAAAGGAATGAAATATAATAGCAAACATGAAACAATAAATAGGAAAAGAAGTTCAATCTCACTGTAACGCATCACAATGTAATTTTTTTTCCTATTTCAAACATAATGGCCAATGTTGAGAAGTATGAAAAGATAAATTACTCTACTAGATAATAATTATTGAGCATCAACTGTTTCCAAGGCATTTTGTTAGGAAATAGGGATAAATGCATTTATCCAACAAATACTACTGGAACATATAGTGTTTACAGAGTGGTTTGCTGAGAATTGGGGGTTTCTAGTGCACAAGACAGATATGGTTCCCCTCTTCCCATGTAAACTTACAAGCTATCACAAGAGATAGACAGTAAAAATAAGCATAGAACAAAATTACACTTAGTAGTGAATAGGGAATGTTAGAGAATGAACAATATCTGGACATGTCTCATGTGTAAATGAGATAGCATAACAAAAGTCACTGGAAGGTGAATAATAGGAGTCAGGGAGATGGTTTAATTAAGAGGACAGGGTACACACATGTGAAATGCCATACAGTAGTCAGTGTAAGCAATTAAATATACTTAGAAAAAGAAAACTAATATACACTTAGAAAAAGAAAAACCGTTCCTGACCTGGATAGGGTTGTTAATGGGAGGGAGAGGGAGGAAATAAGAGTGAATATGTTTGTATGCAAATGTATATACAAAATGGAATAATGACGGTTGTTGAGATTGCTTTTGGAAGGGGTGAGAGATAGGGGAGATTGACAGAGAGGATGAGTCTGATCAAGGAATGTTGTGTGCATACATGAACAAGGCAAGGTAAAAATCCCTTATACCACTAATGGAAGCTAGGAAAGCAGAAAAATATACTGAAAAGTGACAAAGTGACAATGTCTCCCTGAGAAATTAATCACTATCTGAGCTCTTAACAGTTAATATCAGAATTATTTTAGTTAAGGCAAAGGAAGTTTCTTTTTAAAAATTAACATTTCAAGCGGGCGCTGGTGGCTCACGCCTGTAATCCTAGCTACTCAGGAGGCTGAGATCTGAGGATCGCGGTTCAAAACCAGCCCGGGCAGGAAAGACCGTGAGACTCCTATCTCCGATAAACCACCAGAAAACCAGAAGTGGCGCTGTAGCTCAAGTGGTAGAGTGCTAGCCTTGAGCTGAAGAGCTGAGGGACAGCGCCCAGGCCCAGAGTTCAAGCCCCACAACCGACAAAAAAAAAAAAAAAAAAATTAACATTTCATGTGAATCCTAAAAGATTCGTAGAAATTAATGGGGCAAATAGAAAGTACTTTGCAAACAAATGCCACAAAATAAATGAAAATATGAGGCAAAATATGGGTGATAAAACTAACGCATGAGGAATACAGGCAAACTCCTGGAGGAGGGGAGGAGTTAGGATATAGAGTGATTAGAAACTATGAAGTGACTTAAAAGACAAAGCGCGTGACTGAAAATAGTGATAAAAAATAAAGTAAGCCAACCTGTAATCCTGGCTACTAAAGAAGCCAATATGAGGATGAGAGCTCAAAGCCAGTCAAGGCAGGAAAGTACGTGAGACTCTTATCTCCAATTAACTACTAAAGGGGAAAAAAAGCTGCAAGTAGAGCTGTGGCTCACGTATACAGCATTAGCCTTGAACACAAAAACTTAGGCACAGTGCCCAGGCCCTGAGTTTAAGATCCAAGACTGGCATAAAATTAAAAATTTCTGTAGGCAATAAATCTAAATTTAAAACACATTTATATCCACCCACCAACCCGTTATAATCCAAAGAAATCCTTGAGTATGTGCAATGCTGTTAATATCATGGAAAATTAGTTCAGTCTAATGCCTATGAAAAGGATATCAAAGAGATACAATATAATATACAGTGAAATATTATGCATTCATCTAAAGAGAATGGCATGTACCCACATATATTATCCCATAAAGAAATTTTTAAAATAAAATAGCATAGTTCATATAGCTTTATTCTGATTTTCTTAAGATAAACCAATATAAGTGAACTCTTTGGCAGAACATATGCTAAAATTTAAATGATTCAGAGAAGATCATCATGGCTCCTGTGCAAAGATGACATGCAAATTCATGAGAATTCCTCATTTTTCAAAGTTATCTTTTAATATCAATGGAATAAATATATTCCAAGATAAACAGAAACTAAAGCAATTCAGGTCCAGTAAGCCATCATGACAGAAGACACTTAAAGTATCTAACCCCCTAGAAGAAGTCACAAATGTAAGACCTGAAGAAACAATAGGTTTCATAAGAGAAATAGGTATGTGCATGAGAATCAGAAAAGAATCAAGTCTAACTCAATAAGCCATGGAGCTTCAAAAATGAGTAAGAAAATGTTGGGGAATTCAGGAATTTAGTACTGTAACTAGTGTGGCTTAAGGTATGAAATCATTTCAAGTATATTAATCTAATAAAAAGATCACTAAAACTTGAATAAGAGGGAAAGAAAAGAACAAATAGTAATAGACAAAAAGTAACAGAATTACAGCAACATAAAAACCCCTCTCTAATAACTCTAAATGTAAATATTCTAAACACTCCAATTAAAATATTCAAAATGTCTCATTAGATTAAAAACTAAGATTCAACTATTCGTTATCTATAGAATTTGCTGGCTGAAAGTGAAAGGATAGAAAATAAAGAGTATCAAAAAAAAGGAAAAGAAAATGAAAAAAATATTTTGGTGGGGATGTAAATAAATACAGCTACTAAAAATTTAGTGTGACAGTTTCTTAAATGATCAGCTATATCACTATTATGCATGTATCTTCAGGAATATAAGACACTATACAATCAGGGCACATGGGCATCTGCATTCATGGCAGTACAAGGAGCACCTCGTATAGGTAAGGCGTGGTCAGCCAGGGTGCCCATGAATGGATAAATGGATAAGGAAAATGTGTGGGTCAGATGGAGAGGGAGAAGGTGGAGGGACTGACTCTCATAAAGATGAATTGTACACAGAAATTGAAATAGTGGGCGCTGGGAAGGTGGCTCAGTGGTAGAGTGCTTGCCTTGCATGCCAGAGACCCTGGGTTCGATTCCTCAGCACCACATAAGCAAAAGGAAAAAAAGCCAGAAGTGGCACTGTGGCTCAAGTGGTAGACAGTTAGCCTTGAGCTGAAGAGATGAGGGACAGTGCTCCAGGTCCGGAGTTCAGGCCCCACGACCGGACCCCCCCCCCAAAAAAAAAGAAATTGAAATAGTGAATTGAAACATTTTTGTATGACTAATTGAAGAAAATAATTAAAAATATGTTATCTACACATGATGGAAGTCATAAAGAAAAATGAAATCCTGTCATGGAACTGGAAATCAACATGTTAAATGAAATAAGCCAAATTCACAAGGACAGATACTGTATGTTTCTATCACATGTAGCTGTATAAAGAAGCAAGCAATCAATCATAAACCTAAATGGAGGACTAGTGATGGGGGATGGATTTGGGAAGAGAAACAAGGTGATGTGATAATAATATCCAAGTACAGTATGTATGTGTATGGAAATAACATAACAAACATAACAAAGTCCATTTTTTGTACAATGGAAAAAATAAACCTATAGGTACATACATACACATGAAATATTCTTATTTTGTGACATCTGATTACATCAATTACTAATTAAAGGACGCCATTTATCAGAGAAAACATTCAAATACATAAATAATCAAATAAATCAATAAAAGGTAATTTTGAGAGAGACAATTTTTATGATGAAAGGACAAATATATAACAAAACAGATGGAAGATAAGCAAAAATAAATGGCACTCAGTATACAATATGATCCCATCCTGATAGCTCTCATAAGGGTTATGTTGTACTTTATTGATACTTATTAGCAATATAGTATGAACTACTTGCTTGTAGCAATATTTCTATTAGTCTCATTAGGCCTTAGAATGAGAATGATTTATTGTAAACATTCAATGAATAAATGCTCAATTACAGGACTATCTTGAAAGTTAACTTTTGATCCCTTTATTTCTTTTTAAGTTTTATTGTAAGGGTTAAGTACAGAGGGGTTACAGTTACATCAGTAAGGCAATGAATACATTTCTTGTTGAAAACTATTATCCCCTCCCTTATTTTCTCCTACTTTCCCTTTCTCCGACTCCACTCTCCTCCAAGTTATAAAGTTTATTTCCAACACAATGAAAATCACTGTTGCCCTGGTTTACTCTTTGCCCTTTGTTTCACCACTTTGTGATTCCCCTTCCCTTCCCTAAATCAGATAAATATACACACAAAACACAAGGCACCAAAATTAAAAACAGTGACAAGGAATAAACCAAAGGCGGAGGGGGGGGGAACAAAAATTGAAGAAAGAAAGAATTAACTAATCCCTTTAAATGCAGAAAATGAGCTTAGGGAACTGAGGCCATTATAATACATCTAATCCTAAGATTTGCCATCTAAGGGAATTGAGTGGTAACGAAAGGGCTCATCCTTGCAACTCTGAAATGGTGTTTCTTCAGACATCGTGACTTCTCTTAGGGATAACGTTACAGATGACTACAATCTCATCAAGGACCCCTAATGTTCCTTAGAAATCATCTTAAATGCTCTCAGTTGAAGCCAGCAAAGCATCATCTAATTATGCAGGATTTCTGATTGCTCATCCTCAGCCCTGTTCTCATTCAGATCTTCACCGCTTGTGTGCCTCCTTGACTGTGGAGAGTTTCCATCAATCTGAACAGAGGTTTTTGTCAAGGAACAGGTGTGTGGACACCATGAATGGAAATGGATCGGAGGGAACACAGGAGACAGTGAGACAGTCTGTTCTCTGAAATTCCTATAATGCTGCCTTAAACTTTCTTATCTCATAGCTATTTTACAAATTTTGAATCTCAATTATTTTTACACTAAAATCAATGTTAATACACTTCAGATACATGAGATGCATAGAATAGCTGTTTTTTGGCATAAGAGGTAATGTTCTATTGACCCCAAATTAAATGGAATTTAAAGACATTCTTAAAAAAAATTAACAGTCTTTCTTGCATAAATGACAAGTTGTTTTATCAAGTTCTCCTAGGAAATGTGTCCTAAGTTTGATGGTGAACAATGTCAAAAGAAAAACATCAAGTTAATACTCGTCCACTCTGGATTTAGTATTTCAGGTTCTATGAGGATTCTAAATTTCAACAGTAGTATTTTATTGAGATTAAATAATTCAGTAGGATGGAAACATATATACAAGTTATTCCTTTAAAAAATTGTCCTTCCCCCCAATTTTTTCCCTTAGATTGGAAAAAAATGCACATAACTCCTCATTATTTTGTTTCTGTAAGGTACAATATGCCCTCTCCTATAAAATGATTAAAGATAACTATGGACAAACAAACTAAGACAACATTTTAAGAAAACGACATTGATTCTATTTTCAGTAGCATTTCATTGGAAGTCATTGGCAGTTGATATTTGACAACCCCAAAGCCTTTCCAGACGTGGAGCAGGTGCAGGTTCTGTTAGACACACTCCTCTGACAGAACAACAAAGCCTGCTTGATGTAATTATACTTATTATTCTGCGATTGCTCCTTCCTGATCAGGGATACATCCCTTCATAAAAAATGCTGCAGAATTAACCATGGATTATGTATGAATTGGGGGGTGGCTAGGGGACAATCTCAAATATTTTGTTTGTTGATGCAGGCTGAGTGACAGCTCCAGGTGGAATTCTGCAAAACACAGGCCAGTGATTAATATATTGTGCTTGCTCAAAAGAAAACAGGGTCATGGAGTATAGTAAAGTATTTCTGAAGACATGGTTTGTGGAAACAATAAACTGGTATGATATAGGAGACTCTCATTATTTGAATATGCATTGTTTAAGGAATGAGATGCTGATAGAGAGGGCTCCAATAAGGGTCACTGGATGTAGTAGTTCAATGTCTCTGTCTTTCTGTGTGCGTCTCTCTCCTCTCTCTCTCTCTCATGTGTGTGTGTGTGTGTGTGTGTGTGTGTGTGTGAGAGAGAGAGAGAGAGAGAGAGAGAGAGAGAGAGAGAGTGAAGTTCTCTTTCAAGCACATATTTTTCAACTACTACACTTCCTGCCTCAGCCAGATGGAGATTTGGCTTCAAGGTCAGTGTCAGATTCAGGTGGAAGATAAGGGTTCACACCTGTAATCCTAGCTGCTCAGGAGGCTGAAGATCGTGGTTCAAAACCAGCCTGGGCAGGAAAGTCTGTGAAACTCTTAACCTGCAATAAACTACCAGAAAACTGCAAGTGGCTCTGTGGCTCAAGTAGAGCACTAGCCTTGAGCTGAAGAGCTGAGAGACAGCGCCCATGCCCAGAAAAAAAGAGAGAGAGAAAGAGAGGGGGAGAAAGAGAAAGAAAGAGAGAGAGAGAGGGAAGGAAGGAGGGAGGGAAGGGAAGGGAAGGGAGGGGAGGGGAAGGGAAGGGAGGGGAGGGGAGGGGAGGGAAAGGAAAGGGAAGGGAGGGAAGGAAGGAAGGAAGGAAGGAAGGAAGGAAGGAAGGAAGGAAGGAAGGAAGGAAGGAAGGAAGGAAGGAAAGAAGGGAATTCAAGGTAATGGGTAAGAATTTAAATACCTAGCAATAGATTGTTTGTGTGATAGACAAACAAATATATACTTTAGGAGAAAAGTTGAGGTATTCAACCAGGATGAGATCATTAGGTAACTGAATAATACATACAAAATTTCAAAAGATGTCAAGCCCCTAGGACCCAGAGAGGATAATGCAAGAATACTCTATGTCCAGAATCATTTTCCTGGACAAACGCAATGCCCCGTGGGTTTCTTTCCTAAGCCTTGAATCTGCACCTCATGGGAACTCTCATTTTTGTGACAGAAACCGCAGCCTGTGTCCAGCATTTACGTCAATAAATCCTGTGTGGTAGAATCATGTTGAGGCTCAGTCTTCCTACTTTGATTTGAGATTCAGCGGGCCAAGAACAAGGATGTAAATCTTCATCTTCTAAGGTGTTTGCAGCTACAAGTGAGAAAGACTCACTTATATTTGGATGCTTTGGAAAAATTATCTTTAATAAAATATGTTTACATGTTAACCTATAGTTATAAATAAATATATAATCTACATAAACAATTTTTAATGCTCTGAAAA